AAAGGGCGGCCTACAAATTCTAATAAAACTAAAACTAAACTTTAGAATGGTATGTTAATTTTTTTAGTTAAAAAAGAAACTAATAACTGAAGATATTTTGCTTTATCTGCAGGAATCCATGGGGAAGCAGGTGTGCGCAGAATGAAGGTAAGTTTACTGTGACCCATCTTACATACCTAGAAGTGTAAGCTTGTCCACTAACACGTATCATTTTCACAGATGACAACAGCACATCAGATAGTCAACATAATGTTGGATCACATGACCAACCCTTCCAATGCCTCTCATGTGCAACTCAGGCCTAGTGAGTAACTTTGGACTGACATACCTCTTATTCCCCAAAGTTCTCAAAGGATACTGGTAACTATTTTGGTGCGATTTTTTTTAATGTAATTAGTGTAATAAATTTTTACCTGAACATAATTTTTTGGTGAATTTACTATAGATATTCCTTGACTTACAAGAATTCTGGAGCCCAGAATTTCTATTATATGTCACCATACCAATTAAAGGAGAATATTTGTAGCTCAGGGTTGATATGAGGGATACTTGGTGCTCTCTGAGCTTGCTTGTTTTCTTGCAAACATTTCATTACCCAAACTAACTAACATTATCAGTACTCATAAGGAGTCTATATGTCACCATGGTTGCAAGTCGAAGCACCGACATGACTGAACTGATATTATGACATTTTTTGTGGCAGTTATTAAATGAACTGATTAATGAGAAATGAACATTATCATTAAGCAAACACTGTGGTCAATAATCAAGCCCATTGTCCACACCTGCTGTTTTGGAATGGAAGTAAATGCTAATTTCTGGCAAAAAAATGTCATACCCAATGCGTGGGATTCTGCAGATGACCATAAATGTGATCCAGATGTTAAGAGCCCAAATGCAATCACATTACTGCAGGGGGTAGGCATCAGAACTTTGAATTTGGATTGTAAGTATCTTTTGGGAGTTTCACTGTACCTTCAATGGTCACAAAGTGAAATTCGTAAGTCAAGAATTACATTTATGTGATCAGCAATCCTAGGGGTATTTTTGACTGTTGTGATAATTTACCATTTACAAATCCAGCGTACTTAAATCATCCTCTGTATTAATATTTGAAGATTGTATTTATATTAGGCTTTCAGCCCTTTGAAACACCTTTCAATTATATCAATCTTTGCTTTGGCTTTCAGATTCTTCTGTGGTCTTGGTAGTGAACAACCTGGGTGGATTATCCTATCTTGAGTTGAATATAGTAGCTAGATCTGCTATTTGCTCTCTTGGTAAGTTTTTTTTAATTGAAAGTAAGGTAAATGAAAATAAACATCCAACTACCAACAAAGTATTCATGCCTTTGAATGCTTTGCATACCTCTGCTTTAATTACTTGGGATTAAACTCATTGTCATATAAACAGCTCAGATCTTTTGGGTACATTTATTAACCTAACATGTAAGATTTAATTTAATAAATACACAAATCCTATTTTGAAATAGCTAGACAATGTGACTTATCAGGTCCGCATTTCAGAGATATTACCTTACCAGATTCCTCAGGACTTCCAGTGAATTCCCTTAATTGGAAATGTTGGGATACATTCAGAGATAGTGTGTCTGTCTTGAAAATAGCTCATGTTGAACTATATTACACAATCAAATATCAGCATGGGAAATAGCAATAGCACTTAGACTTACGTATATACTGCTTTACAGTGCTTTACAGTCCTCTCTAAGATGCTTACACAGTCTCCATATTGCCCCCCAACAATTTGGGTCCTCATTTTACCCACCTTGGAAGGATGGAAGGCTTAGTCAACCTTGAGCCTGGTGAGATTTGAACTGCCAAATTGCAGTCAGTCGGCAGTCAGCAGTACTTTGCAGTACTGCACTCCAACCACTGTGCCACTATGGCTCACTACTTTATGACGTTTTATTACATCATAACTACTTTCTGATAATGTTTATGTCATAACATGTTTTATAAAATTTGCCAGATTTCAATTCCATGGAAGTCATGGGTCCCAGATTTTGGACATAACATTTTGTTCTAGAGTACATCATTTTGCCCCACTAAAGGTTACAGGAATTTAGTAGCATATAGGTAACGTTGATAGTAATTAAAATGTAACCTGGGCAGAAATCAACCTGTAATGTTTAGATCAGCATGACAAGTTGTTTCCAGGCAAATAATTGAATATCTATATAGAGGAAGGGAGAAAATACAGGAACTGTTATTTTGGCCCGGGGTTAATTATATTACCAAGACAGCAGTACTTGGAATGAGCAAAATATATTCTTCAAACTGTCTTTCACAGAAAAACAATTGGATGCTTCCACACTAAAACTCATATCCTACTAGAATAAAAGTAGACATCTTACCTTGGTATGGGGGTAGAAACTCATCCTCTCAACTTGCAAAAGTCTATTCAGTGATGTGATGATTACCAAGAAGGGGGCAGTTAAAATTTTGCTCTGAATTTTGTTTGGGGGAGGAGGCATTTTGGCTCCATTCGACAGGACTTTAATACTGAGAAAGGGTAAGGCTTTTCTCCAGTGACTTCATTCCCAATTTTATTTTCATATTTTTGTACTTGAAAATCACTCCATCAAATTTCAGGTTTGCTATTGCGAGATTCTCTGCTTTAAAAAAAAAAGTTTTCTAGAACTTTTAAAATTTTGCAAATTTTCATAATGTCTACTTTGTAAGCAATTGTTTGTATATCTATACATTACTTTTCTCTTCCATACTACTATGATACTTTTGTCAATGATACCATCTTTACTTGTTTTTTGTCTAAAGATACTTTTATGATAATCTCTGATGGGAATTTTGTACCCTGTTTCCCCCAAAATAAGACCTCCATGGATAATAAGCCCTGCCTGAAAATATTGCAACACAGCAGCAGTGATTAGGTGACTAAGCTCGCCGTCTCCTGCACCTCAAAAATAATAGGACTTCACCAAAAATAAGGCCAAGTGCTTATTCCGTAGGTCAAAAGAAAATAAGACCCCGTCTTAACACGGTATATTCATAATGAATTGATGTTTGTAACTTGAATTCACGCTTCAGAAACAAATAACAAAATTTAAGCACAAGTTCTTCATGGGGGATCTTGGTAGTAGTATTTTTTTTTAATGCCAAGATTTCTCAGCTCCGTTGGAAAAGCCTTAGTAAATAGATCTGACATGGATATTGTCTTGTCTCAGGTACGACTACTCCTATTTGGAAAAGGAGGAAAAATTTAGAGGCTCAGGCTCACATGAAATGAGAAAGAATTACTGATGCAGTTCTGATACCACCAGACTGTTTTAAAGGCCACACAGCCCTCCTTATTTTCTGAAGATGAAGGTGAGGGAGGCGTTTGTAAAAAAAAATAGTGAAAATATTCCATGATCATAACCATAATCGTCTAACTACATAGTTGGGTAATGAAACGTCTGCAAGAAAACAACCAAACTCAGAAAGCACCCCAAATTTCATAATCAATTCCATTCATGAGGTCTTTGAATCTTATAAGACCCAAGAATTGAATTTCCTCTTGTAGTGACATCACTTTTGAAATTTTATGGACTGTTTTCTTTATTTTTCAGTTACTTATATAAGATTAACCTTCTCATGTTTTCCCAAACGTTGCATTATTTAAAATGGATTTAGTTTTCATTTTTCTTACTCTGGTTCATTCATGACAGTTACTTCTTTTTCCTTCTCATTTTGGTTCTTCACCCTGGTTCTTCTTCAAGTTTTCTTTGCTTCATCATTGCAGAGAGAAGAGGTTTTCATATCGCCCGGTGTTACGTTGGTTCCTTTATGACTGCATTGGAAATGGCAGGTGTCTCCCTTACCCTTCTTCAAGTGGATGAAGAACTCTTGTTCCTCCTTGGTAATTTTCTTAGATGTTGGTTTTCTTCCCACTGTTTTATTGGGAAAACATATTGTGTATTAATTATTCAGAATATGTCTGTGGAACCATCAGTTCAAGATGGTGTTTTTGACATTTTGGGAATGCATAATGCAGATACGTAACTAGCATGTTCAATGGTGTACTGTATCTTTTTATTTTAATTAGTATCTTAGCTAGCTCTCCACTTCTGTTATGCTGGATTTGATTATTTAGGGATTGTTCCCAAATATGTTTCTCTTTTACACTGAAAAAAATGGTGGAAATTCTCAACAATTCATTTGTTTATGTTCTTTCGTGAATGTGAAACTATCTTCAATTGTTGTCCACAATTGTATTTAAATTCCTAGATTCAGATACTACAGCTGCTGCCTGGTCAAAACCTGTCAGGATGTCTGTGACAAGAGAGAAAAGAGAGAGGCCAGCACCCAAAGAGTGTCCTAAAGAAGAAGGGCCTGAGCCAACAAAAGGTACAGTCTGAAACATCTGTTATAGCTGCAATGGAATTTCTGCTTTGCCTGGTTCATGTCAACAGCTGAGACTGATCCAGGCTTCTAGGTAATGGTTGAGACACAGAGTGGGGATAAAAGATCTGAGGCATCATTATATCATGATTGGACAAATAGGACTTACCATATTTTTCGGAGTATGACTCACCTTTTTCCCTCAAAAAAGAAGCTGAAAATCTGGGTGTGTCTTATACACTGAATACAGCATTTTTTGCCTCCTGAAACCCATCCCTTCACCAAAATGGCCGTGCATAGCCTTTAGGAGGCTTGTAGAGTGCTCCTGGGGTATGGGAAAGGCAGAAATGAATGAAAAATGGGCTGTTTTTTGCTCAATTTTGCCCCTCCAAACCCCCAGGAGCACTCTGCAATGCTTCCTAAAGGCTATTCATGCTCTTTTTTTGAAACAAAATGGGCCCATTTTCGCAAAAAACTGGCTGTTTTTTTAAAATTTGCCTCTTCAAAACCTTGGTGCATCTTATACTCCGGTGTGTCTTATACTCCAAAAAATATGGTAATTAAGAGCAAGTCACTAAGACTTGCATTGATTTCTGTTCTCTTTTCCATCTCTGCTTGAGCCTAGTCTCCTAATATTTTTGTGACATAGAACTGACAGATTACATATATATTAGCTTGTGGGACAATAGATAGAGAATTGCCAGAGTACTTTTCTTGCATCTCTCTAGTTCCAGTGCTCTGGATGAATAGTTTTTGTTTTTATACACCACATTTTCCTTTCAAAAGAATTGCAATTCAGTCTGGAGAGCATAAGGCTAATATCCAAATTGCTGACTGATGCTCACTCTGAAGAGGGAATTACAATGAAAGGAAAGGGAGAAAACAGTGGTCTGTGATTTTTATCTTCTGTGGGAAGAAGAGAGCCAAAAGCAGCTTCAGGTTTGCCAGTAGAACAAACATGCAGAATATTCAGATTATTTCATTTCAAACCCAATAATGTTTTAGTGAATTATCACAAATGTTCTACTTTTTCATCATTCATCAAGTAAATAACTTATGAGCCATCCAGTACAGACTTAAATTTCTTTAACAACTTTCTGATAAAGTGATTGATTTGGCTAAGTGATCTGTGTAGTTTGATTTTATATTTCTGTACATATATTCACAAGAAACACAGGTGAAGAGCAGCATTGGTACTTCTGTAAAACAGAGTGTATGAAACTTCACCATTATTGTAACAAAAGAACTAATAGTTTCCATTCTTTTTAGTGCCATCTTCTCCTCACATGAGATTGATTCTGGAGTGTGTGTGCTCTAAAATGCTTAGCCTACAGGAGCAACTCAATGAACTTGATCGTGCTGCAGGTGATGGAGATTGTGGAAACACACATGCACAGGCTGCCATTGGTTAGTTCTCTTATCATACTCTAAGCCTTGGAGTCAACTTATATCATGTGACAACCTCACACTTTTTCTTTAAAAATCCAGTGTTGAATTCAGTTGAGCTCTTTTGTAAAGTTTGGTTCATTTTTGGTCAGAGCAATAAAAGCATGAAATACCCTAGTGTGTATAGCGTGCAGTGTGAACAAATTTTGGCTTTTGTGTGTTTGATAAAAAGTTTAACTAAGGTTTAAGCTGCATGCCCAAAAGAGTAAAGCTTTCTTCCAAAATATGAACTAGATTTGGGAGGTGGGGTTGAGAAGTAATAAAGGTCATAAATGGAGCCTAAACACTATCAAATTTGTGTGTTTGCTGTATTTAAATCAAGAGCAAATTGGGATGGAAGGATGAAGATATGGGGATCAGACCAAACATGATTGATCTTGCAAGTGAGCAAAACAAATTGTTGTGTTATTCATAATTCAAACTAGCTTTGGGTATGATTACTATTTTCTCTAAAACAAAAACAATATGGTGAATATGAGCTGTTGCTCTTCCTCTCTCAGCATTGGAGATTATATATTTTCTGAATTTTGTATTATGGACACATTTAAAATTAATAGTTTGAAAGTTTGAAAGAAAACTGATTCTGGAATCCTTTGTAACTCTCTGAGCTTGATGGCTTGCTTGTAGATGTTTCATCATCCAATTAGGGAATATCATTAAGCCTATTACCTGGTTGGGTAGTGAAACATCTGGAAGTAAACAATCAAGCTCAGAGACCATCAAAGACTCCACAGTTCAATCCTGAGCTCCATAAATTCTTTTCTGATTCTGTTGCTAATAGAATTCTCAACGATGTCAGTGGTTGAATACAATCTGGGATTAAAAAGGCAGTGGAAAGTTCCCTGCTTCTGGAGTAATTTTGCATCTTTCCTCCTGGTACTGTAAATTACCATACCAAATCATGGATGTCAGGACAGCTGTTTTATAAATCTGCTAAGTTTCCTGTTTAATAACACTTCTTGGAACATTGCTTAAAAATAGGGTTTAAGAAAAATGTAAAATGAGTGACAGCTGTAAGGTGGCTAGCTTGACCAGAATAGACCTCAAGCCTGAACCAAACTTGGATCTCATAATATGAGTCTTTGCTTAATTATAAACTGCATAGCTTGCTCTTAGGATATGGTGTAGTTGTTGTGTCAGCATAAAGGATGTCTGCACCCAAAATATGCTGGAGGATTCTCATGTCTAACCATAACTATTCCTTCACAGCAATCCAGAATTGGCTAGATGCTAAACCGCTGCCTCAGCGACCTTACCAACTGTTCTCTTCACTAGCCAAGTTGCTCCTGGAAACGATGGGAGGCTCTTCAGGAGCGGTGAGTGTTGGCCAAGTGGATTAGCTGTTAATTAAAAATGAAAGGCAAATAGAATTACTAGATCTGGAAAAGAGCGGTTAGTTTTTCAGTTATTAGTTTAATTGACAGCACCAGGCTAAGTTTTCTCAAAAAAGAAAAAAAAAAGGACTTGGGTAGTACTTGAATGGGGAACTTCCAAGAAACCTCAAGATGAATCTCAGTTCATATGCAAAATTGGAATAATATCTCAAAAGAAGGCAACATCAAACTACTCTATTTTGTTATGTACATAGAAGTGTACATAGATTTCCCCAAATTACTACGAATCAAGCTTTAATTTATGGATTAAGAAATATAATCAAATAAACATGAAAATATGCATTTATAATAATGTCACCTTTTAGGAAAACTGGCAGAAGAATGAAACATTCAGATGTATAGTTCAGTCAGACTAGTTTAATAGACTACAATAAAACAACATACTACTTTATAAATTGGAAAAACTGAGGACTTCTTAGATCTAAAGATATTAGGTAGATGGAAGAATGTACAGAACAACATACTATATTTTGTAATCATGAAATTTTACATGTGCAATTTTCCTATTTTTTAATTTAAGCCATGTAATGTGAGATCAGCAAATAAATGTATTCAAATTTATTTCATTTGCAGCTTTATGGATTATTTCTGACAGCAGCTGCTCAGTCTCTACGGACTGATGATGACTTAGCAGCCTGGTCTTTAGCGATGGATGCTGGAATCAGTGCTATGATGCGGTGAGTATAACTCTAATTATAGCTGATGAAGTGTTCCTTTATTATTTGATAACATTTCATGTGTTTTCACCTGTAAGAGTGGCATCATTTTTATAGAATGTAAAGGAAGACAACTGTGAGAAAATAGCATTTATGTACATGATGTGATCCCAGTAACTTTGTTGCATCATCTTGTTATTTATGGCTCTCAGTTCCTCCTCCAAACTACAATATTTTCTACCACTTGTTTAATTGCTTGCATAAGCAAAGCCAGTTTTTACAAATATGCTATAAGAACTACCCATGGAGTACAAGATTTGTGAAGATGTATAGCCAACATATTGTAGAAACTATACTATTAAATATTTCCTCTGACAGATATGGAGGAGCTGTACCAGGAGACAGAACCATGGTAAGAAATTTATCCCATTATCCTTATTGTCTTTGAGTTTCTTCTGTTAGTATCATGATGGCAGCCCTATTTTCTTTCCTTCACTAGCTATACTAATTGCAGATAATAACATATGTGATGTATTTAATGCTAGTAGAATTACTAATGGGATTATTTACAGCTGTGAGAGGGCTTTATTGACATTGGGGAGGGTGATCAGTGCTGCAGGATTAGCAATAACAATAGCACTTAGACTTATATACTGCTTCATAGTGCTTTACAGCCCACTTATATGCGGTTTACAAAGTCAGCATATTGCCTCGAACAATCTGGGTCCTCATTTTACCCACTTCAGAAACATGGAAGGCTAAGTCAACCTTGAGCCAGTCATGATTGAACTCCTGGCAGTGGACAGAATTAGCCTGCAATACTGCATTGTAACCACTGCACCACTACAGCTCCTTGGAGTGTGCTTAACATTGAAAACTAGTTTGGATGTCAGAAATGGATTTCTGCCTGCTTAAGTGAGTTTAGGGCTGCTTTTGAGATCTTTCTTATAGAAAGCTAAGATTCATGTTTCTAATACATTATCTAATACAGATGTGCTCTCTTTTTCAATGCTCATGTTGCTTTTAGTCACATTTTCAGGCTCCCAAGTTCCTTTTTGATCTATATAAAAGAACAGCATTTCAGTTCTGGGTACTATATATCACAAACTGTACATTTGAACTATGCAGACCATAATATTTATGCTGGCAATGGATATTTCAGATATTTCCCTGTACTGTTTTTTCAGTTATATTTTTGCCAAGATTCTACATGGCAAGACTGTATTAAATATATGCTGAATATTAAATCTACAGGGTAATATTCTATACTTTTGTATGTATTGCCTCATATAAATAATTTTACATATGTACAGGTTGTCCTTGGATTATGATCATTAATTCAGTGATCATTTAAAGTTAAAACAGTCCTGAAGGAATGGTAGTTATGACTGGTTCTCAAAGTTCTGTTACAGTGCTCCCAAATTAGATGATTGAAATTGGGCACTTAGCAGCTCACCTGCAATTATGACCATAGCATGTGCTTCAGTTCCCTTCCCATCTTTCTCCCATCTCTGTTCTTCAGGCTGCCCTTCACTGTCATCTACCTGTCACCCCAGCTGACCTTTAACATCTTCCTCCCACTGCTGGCAAGGCAGGCCAAGTTATTTGTGATCTTCCCTATTGCCTTCCCTATTGGCCAAGCAAAGTCAATAGGGAAACCAGCAGGGAAGTTCATAGGGCACTCCTGATGCTTTTTCTCCTGCCCACAGCATTCTCTGGACCTGTGAGTAGTCTTCCCAAGGCCACTCATGCTCCTTGTTTGGGACTTCCTCTGCTTTTGGCTTAATGACCTGCACAGACCTGGGATTATAACCAAGTTATATGCTCACATGATGTTATGGTTTACACTTACATTGCTTAGCAAGGACATTCATGGTCCCACTTTTCATTGTAACCTGAGGACTACCTGTACAGCGTTTTTCTCTCTCCCCCTTTCCCTTCTAGTTGGCATTTTCTCTGTCTGTCAGAGCCAGCACTTCCAACTGAAAATGTTTGGAATTCTTATCAATTATAACAAATCTTGGAAATTTCCTTCAAAGGTTCAGTTCTTGTCCAGTAAAGAATAGTAGTTCTTGCCACTATGGTTTGTCTAATATTCCTCATTTCTTGCCTAGCTGGATTCACTCTGGGCTGCTGCAAAAGAACTCAAAGCTTTGAAGACCCCAAAAGCTGATCTGATGGAGGTTCTGTCCAAGGCTGTAAATGTGAGTTTATTAGCATACGTGAAATTCCAAGTTAGTAACTTTTGCATAATGAGAGCAAAGATGAGAAACATGAAGTTTTCTTTCTGTTTCTTTATTGGAGAAGTGCTTCTTCAAGGCATAGAAACAGATATGAGGTTAAAAGTCTTTGGAGCCTTTTGGAAAGGGGTCCAGGTCAGGCAAGGCATGAATTGGCATTTTTTTCTACCAGCTCATAGAAAAGAGACGTTTTTAAAGATCCTTCTTGTCTCCAGGGTTATAATCACCTAAAGTCCTCAAGCCTTTAAAACCAATAATCAAAAACTATAAATATTAACACATTACAGACTATAGCAACAAAAAAGAGGCCTAAACTCCAAATGATGTATGTGTTTATAAACTGATATGTGAAACTTTGTGTATTATATATAGTGTTATCTGTATAAAGAACAAGTTTGTAGTATACATTTATGTTGCTTTTTTATTCCAGAAGGCAGAGGCTGCTGCTGAATCTACAAGGAATATGGAAGCTTCCGCAGGCAGAGCGAGTTATATCAGTTCATCTCACCTAGAACAGCCTGATCCTGGTGCTGTAGCAACTGCGGCCATTCTCCGGGCAGTGTTGGAAGGGCTACAGGCTAAACCATAGTAACTTCATGATATTCTTCCTTAATAGAAATCATATTTTAATACTAGCTTAAATGTCCCATCACTATTCTATCCCTGCTGTGCAGGCCTTACTAAACCCTGGTACTTTTGGCATGACAAGGTTTATTTTAACTTACAAAGCTTTCTTGCACATCATTTGGTGTTGTTCTTGAAATGTCATGCTTGAGAACCGAGTTATGTTTGTCTGGGGTCTATGTTTTTTTCATGCTTTTTGGATTTTGGTGATTGCAGGATCCTCTTTTCAAGTTGTTCAAGTTGTTTTTATGTACTGCATTTCTTCGCTGTATACAAGAGGTGTTTTAAGTTTTGCTGAAGTTATGTAATGGTACATTCAAACAATATTGTAGCAATATAGCTTGAACAACTAAGTAAAATGTATGCAAAGATCTTCTAACTGTAGATACCAGGTATATAAATATGCCAGAAACTTTATAAAATACTTCATAAACCACGATTAATAGTCTGGATTTTTTTTAAAAAAAACAACTGGAGCTGTTGCAATTAATACATTTGTTCCTTCTCTGTTGATTTCACATAGAGATCTCACTTGCCACTGAATGAAACAAGATTCTTGACTAGTTAATCGCATTCCCTGACCCAGGAGCACAGAAAGCCCATAATTTCATAAGTGCAATCATCACATTTGTTAAACTACTTCATATTTCTTTGTATGCAATATAGCTTTTATAAATATGGAATACATCAATCTAACTTAGCTTTATATATGTAGATGCTGAGAAGAATATTGCTATATAATCATAATTGAAATAATCTGCCTTTTAGCCTTGGCAGTAACTCACCATTCTCATAGTTACAGTATCCTTTTTGGGTACAAGGGATCATAAATCTAGATCAGGATTTTTGAACTGTCTACCCTCTGGGCAATATGCTTTAGGTGTTAATACAACCAATTAAAATGTACCCCACTAGAAATGTTTAGCTAGTACCTAGATAACATGAAAGGAAGCTTGGCAACCAGACCTCTCTTTCAGGAACGTCATAAATGGGATTATTTACAGGTGAGTTTTTCAAGATTGTCTCTTTTGCTTCGGATGATAGTAAAGATTCATCTTTATAGAATTTAGCATCCTTAAAGCTGGGACTTAAGCACTTCGAGCTAGGATTGGAAAGAAACACTCAGAATTGTAGAGTAGAATTACTCAGGTAACATGCTGGTTAACACATTAGATCTTTTATGTGGTGGGAGGTGGGTGTTATTTTCAAGAGCAGCTATACAAAGAATGCATTATAGTTTAGATTGAAAGAAATTATCAGGTATATTTCTCTGCCAGCCGAGGATCTATGTTTGTAAAGGTAACTTTTGTCATATGATCTGCCTCAAAACCCCAAAGTTATTTCATCCAGGTAACTGCAGGCACCATTTTAAATATTTTGCTAATTATATGATCAAGAACTCATTCTATATAACCAGAATGAAAGCTAGGTGCATAGCTATAATTAAGTGAAATTACCTGTATTTAAATTGGAAAAAACCTTAATGGGGTTAAGGAAATTTTTCAAAAGGAATGTAGAAGAATAAATCTACGTAAGATTTTATTCATTTCCAAATAAAGCCTTTAAACTAACTTTGTTTCAAGACATTTTTCAGCTATTTTGGAGCCAAGCATCTTATTTTAAAATGTTAAAAAAAAGGGAAATACCCTACTAAGGTTTAGACAAGGTAAATAATGTATGACCTCTTATTCTAAACATAGCACAGATTCAGTTTAAATAAACTAAGCTCAGCATGTGAAAGGCAGAGAGACTTAGGGCAGAGTTGAACATAGTAAATCAAGAATCATAAGTAAACTCTTAGTAATTCAATAATGTTAGTGAACCCATTGAACCTAGTTGATCCATATTATAACTCAAATTTCTAAAAAACCAGATTGATAAGCTTGAGAAAGTTTTTTTTTTTTTTTGGAAGTATTTGGGACAATTTTAGATGAGAACTCTATTGAATGAAAGGAAAGCTAATGTACGTCCAAGACATTACCCAAAGAAAGCATCTATTTTTGATGTTTGACTTAAGGGTTATGTTCAGCCATAGAAAGGAATTCCAGAATGTGTAACTCTAAATAATAAATATCTGCCAACCTTGAGCGAATACAATGATACTGAGGAGTTAACATTGCAATGCATGTAATTAACCCATACTAGATACATTAGATACAAGTAGTCCTTGTTTGGTAACTGCCGCCTTTAGCAACCATTTGCAGTCACAACTGTGATGAAAAAATAACTTTACAACCAGTCCTCATATTTAAAACGGTTTGCAGATCTATAAAGCAAAGTAAAGCTGAAGTTACATCATAACCAGAAACATGATTACATTTAGCAAGCACTTTGTGTAATGGCTAAGTTGTTAATCCTAATTATTGCTAAATGAGAACTACCTGTATAGTGGTTTGGTTTTTGGTTCTTTAAGTAAATGTAGCTTGCAAGTAACAGAAATAGGTAACACTATATGCTATAAATAGCTCAACATATTATTTTAATTATATATCAAGGGCCAGTCCTTGAGTGTGTTCAGTTCAAATTGCTTGATTAAATTCAGGAATTTCTCTATTGTTGATTATGGAGAACAGCATAATCTATTAGCATTATTAAGAAAGTGATTTAGCCCAAATAAGAAGAAACAGGGTCAATTTCCACATTAACAACATAGAACATAGATATATTAGAAATAAGAAAAGCATAGGAGATGGATGAGCCACGTCATGATGTTACAATGTGCGGTCTCGATACTCTTGAGACCTCAGTTGACACTTTTGCCGCTGGGGGTGTCCATTGAGACCTAAACCATCCCGTAGAGATGGTGATCAGGAAGACAAAGCCTTGCTGGTCTCAGGGATATCGCAAAATCCCTGATAGACCCAAGGGAAGTGCTTCAAGCCTGCGGTAAACAGGCAGCCCCTAGGCTNGCTGCGTCTTTAGCCTTCAAGCTGAACGATCAGAGGTCAAGTTTTCCCAGATGTTAATGTCCTTTCCCAAGGCCTTTAGATCCCTCTTGCAGATATCCTTATATCACAGCTGTGGTCTCCCTCTGGGGCCCTTTCCCTGCACTAATTCTCCATACAGGAGATCTTTCGGACTCTTCATCTGGCCAGATCTTTTGCTGCCCTCCTAGCTTCACTTTCTCTATCTTCTCTACTCCCCCCTCCTTCATTCACATACTGTACGTGTGCACACAGACATTTCACAAAACACCCCCCCCCTTTGATAGCCATATTATGCTTTTTTTTATATTTCGCAAGAGGAAGGAGTCTTCAGTCTTTGGCTAAACTGAGAGTGAGACAGTGAAGATGACCAGGAGGGACTAGCATATCCTAGCTGCAGCAAGATTTTGCTTTCACAATCTCATTGGCTGGAAATTGTATTTGTACTCAAAGGCATCTGGAGGGCACAAGACTAAAATCGGATGATGCTGCCATCCATATTTCCTAGACTACAAAACCTCTGAAGCAAATTGTCACATCATTCACAAGGTTAATGGAGACACTTTTTACTAGTTACATAGATGCTGCTTTCATAGAACTGCCACTGACTGCCCGCTGCAAAAATATCTAAAAGGTAAATTAATCTAGCATGGCACACCAAGTCAAGGCAATAAACATATCCATTTTTTTCTAGACTCTGGATATAAATGGGAAGAATTGTTCCGGATAATCACAATTTTGAATGCTTATTGCTATCACCTATTCTACAGTAAATATTGGAAAAACATTCAAAGGTGAAAATAAATCCAGTATTCTAATAAGTGAAAGATACAGAGTAAACAGGTCTTTCACATTATCAAAGTAGCGCATCTGTAAGTAGTTCAAAAGGTCAAATGAAATGAAGTTTGACTCATTATGCATTTTTAATGAACACACAAGTGCATGCATAAGGAAGGATAAGCAACATAATACACTCCAGATTACTATTACTATAACTATAACTAGCCATACTAACTGGGGACTATTAAGAGTTGCAGTCCTAAATATTTGGAGGGCAACCCTTCCCCAGCTCATACTAAAACATTCACTTTATACTCATTAGCTGTCAATGTCTCACACAGCACATTTAAGAATGTACTCAAGTGTGTACTCATCATCATCAAGCAAGGATTTAATGACTCTCAAAGCACATTCCTAAAGTTAATCACGTACTTAACTGCCTTAGCAAACTGAAATCTGAATTTAGGCTATGTATTTTGTTCACTGTGGACCCCTAGCTTTTTATGCAAGCTTATTCTTGTTTTTTCTGACCCTTTGTTCAACTTTTGTTTAATCCAAAATATTAATACTTCCTGAAAAATAATAAAGTACGCCATTCAGGCTGTTTAGCTTATTGAAATCAAGAGATGGATTACTTAATGCTTTCGATTGAACTATATCCCAAATAGCTTCCCTTCACTTTCAATTTGCATGTGTATAATACCTAAAATTAGCCAAGTGAATTTTGCTCAAGTCAGAAAGTTCCCTCAAGCACATCTTTCTTCTCTGTTAGAAAAAATTCAGCAGTACTAAATTTAATAGCTATTTATTGTGTTCTCATGATATCAAAATTTTCTGCCCGAGGCAGGTGCATAATACAATAATTTTGCATTATGTAAATATCTGGTATTCACATACAGTGTAGATAGCCCCCCCAAAATTTCTCCTAGTATGTTGAATACCATTCACAACATGATGAATGTGAAAAAAGACATAATTTGTCTTTCTTGGAAAGCATAATCAAGACTATAAAAATGCTTTATGTAGTATGGCTCCATAGAGGTCACAGGGACATACCAGATATTGCCTGTCTCATAAATGGAACAGAACTCACCCAACCGCATGCAATTTTGTAACCATGCCTGTGTTTTGGCTTATAAATACAAGCTGAAATTTGTTCTTCTATTTCAAGAACAAATGTGTTACAATTTATGCATTTCTCCATAAGAAATTCTGTGCCCTTAAGTTGGATTTCCTTAGTTTGTATAAAGTTGCAAACTTAATTCACCTTTTCTCCGCAAAGTAGTAACAAGGTTATTCTGCAATTGCCCTGTCATTTCACATTTTTCCCAGTGTTTTGATTTTTATAGTATCTGATTACTTTTCTCCTTCATGAATGCAATTATTCAACTAAGCCAAAACTCCACAATAAGATGACCTTTGGATATTTTTGACTATAATTTCCATCATCCCTGGTTGCTGTCATTTTCAAAATATTCCAAGCTACCCTGGTCATGACACATTTCCTACAGAATAAAAAGAAGGTAAATAAATTATTGCATTATTTTGGGCATTCCTCCTCACTTTTGTAAACACTGTACTGAACTGCGGTATAGCTAATCATTGTTACATCTTTGTCACCATTATGAGGAAGAACAGATGGCCTGGGTCAAAGTCAAACTCCTGCAAGCAAAGGGAGATTTATCCCTTTTTGCTGCCTTCAATTTAAAATATCACAATGTATATATAGTGG